ACTTTATTATCAAAATTTCAGTTATAGTAGTAGTATTAGTTATAACAATAATCTCAAAACTTAAGTTTTTTAATTTTTTGCAGAAATTTACTCCTTCACGTCCATTTTTTTTTCTTCTTCTATAATGGTCCCAATAGTTTGTCGTAATATCCTGATACACTTTGATGTCTTTAAAGAGTTAAACTTTTTTTAATTTTTTATGTTTACACTGACAGAAACCAGAAACAGAGTGAAGCGCATTTTCCAAATACAAACTTATGACACCATATTTGGTCGATTGAAGATATGAAAACATTTATAATAATTAAAAAGAGACAATTACTAGAAAAAAAGATTTTCTTTTGAAAAGTTGCAAATTTGCTAGAATTTATTTATTTTTTTTACACTTTTTACACTAGCTTTGCGTTGGTCCATCACAGAAAACGCCAATAAAAACATCGATGTTTGTGGTTCTAATGCGACAGAAATCTTGAGAAAGTTAAAATTGTGTTGTCGATACTTTTGCAAAGCACTGTTTAATTGCTATATTTTATTCTTCAAAACTGAATTATACAGCAAATATATCCCCCCTTATTCATTTAATTTCATTTAAAACGTTTGGATTCAGTGTTTTTCAGTTTCCAGCTACTTATTTTCACAAACCGTCGACCTGGAGGTCCATGTTTGCTGTACATACTGTCTGTACGCTGTTCTTTGTAAGATAATAGATGTCCTGTTTAGTCTTCTTGTAAAATATAGTGTTATATTTTCTATAAGAAGGTGAGGAGGAGGGTTGCTGCTGCTGCGAGCACTGAGTTTAGATCGATCGGCTTTCAGCAGTTTGCTTGTTTTCTTTGAGAATCTGCCGTGGGGAAAAAAAAAAGTGCTCTCAGAAAAAAAATAAGACACACTTTAGATGATTACATTTTATTTTTGTGTGTTTTGAGCCTGAAAGAGCTGAACACTACTTGTCTTTTTATAGGTTTTTAACATTTCATGTCCTGATGGAAGGAATAAAACTTTTAAAAACCTGATTATTTATCTTCTAACATGTTGGAGATGAACTACAGTACTTTGAGTCAGATGGGTTTTAGAAGTTGTGCTTTCAACGGGAAGAGACGCTGTTATTAATAACCACACAAATGTAATTTTCTACGTTGCCTTTTATGAAACAAAGTGAGGGTAAAAACTTACACTACATACTTCTATTCTAGCATACAGTATACAAGTAGAAGTGCAAACATTATTCGTTGTTACCTTCATTTCAGCGCAACAAATTGTCCAGAGTACATTTTTCTTCCTTGATGGTATATTTGCATGTTTCTTTCTGGTCACTGCTCCTCCCACAGAGCTGAGAAAAACCTGAAAACATTTTTTAAAAATAGTCATCGACTACGCACAACTGTATATTAGGGTCATAATTGATAGACAATTTTAAATAATAACAAAAATTAAATATCCAAAAAATTCTGAAATGTTGATACTAATCTCAGAAATTTTCTGGAAAAAAAATCGGAGATTTCTTAGCTCCAAAATTTTTAAATCTGCAAATAATAACTGACAAATTTTAAATTTTATCTTAGAAATTTTAAAGATAAGAGGAAAAAAGCTTGGAAAGGTGAAAATTTGAGGAAAAAAATCTAATTTTTAGACAGATGTCAAAATTTTTTCAGAAAAAACAAAGAAATTCCTGAGCTCAAAAAGTCAAATTTGCTAAAAAAAACAAACAAAAAAAACAAACATATTTTCTAGAATTTTTTTTAAATGTTCTCTTTCAAAAGTCAAAACAGTTTCACCTTTTGAAGCTAAAAAAAAATTCTCGAAAAAATTTCTAAGATTAATTTCTGTTTTTTCTTGCGAATTTACTCCTTTTTTTCTATGTAAACTGGCCCTAATAAACAGTTGTAGCTATGACTTCAAGTGATAATAAATTGTAAAGTGTTTACAGACTGTAATGTTTTTTTTTTAAGTAAAGAAGTAAAAAAATAGCCAGCTGGTATTTGAGATTCACTTACAGACATCACAGGAAGTTGGATTTTTTTTTTCTGCCTGAATTTTTTTTTTTTTTTAAAGTAATTGCAGTTGAAGTTTTACAAGTTTTTTTTCTTTTGATTTTCCGTGAAGGATTCAGACCCTGTGAAATATTCAGAAACATCATCTCCATATGTACAGTTTTTACATCAAAATGTAGGTTTTTCTGTCTGCTTTCACCCAGTGTGCCTCCCACTGCTGTAGGACTTATCTGTCAAAACCCAAAATATACTTAAAAAAAAAGGTGTTTTTTTTTTTTTTCAAAGTTTTTTCCCGCTTCTCATAAATAAAAAAAAAAAAATCCACTAGAAGGTTCAGATACTCATGGATATTAGTTTTTCATTTGTTTGACTTGTAGTTTTCCTACGGTGGCTGTTTGAGGCTTCTGCTGTATGCTCTCTGCTGCACTAAAAAAGGCGGGAATCACCATAGCGACGATGACTCAGCATGTTCTTTCTGGAATTTTCCACTCTATTTTTAGTCTCCTTCGTTTCTGCGCTAATAAGTTAGCGTGACAGTTACGGTTTGAAGGGAAGCCTGTTCATCAGATAGCTTCTTTTCGATTTTTCTGTTTGACCACAACTTGTTTTAATCAAGTTTTTAAAAAGTTTTACCCCCTCTACAAATCTGTGACATCATTTTGAGTCCAAATAAAACACAACAGTTAGCTGAAGTCCTCCTGCGCCATCTTTATTTTTGAAATAATTAAATAAAAAGCTTCCTAGTAAGAAACACAGTCACAATCTATTACTCTTTAAACAGAAAAAATGTTTACCCTATATTACAATGCCAAGTATTTCCTTGATGTTTATGCATAAATGTTTTAGGGTAAATCCGTCTTTTTCCTTATGAATTACACTTGATGCACGATGAAAAGAAAATTGAGATTTATAAAAGTAGTTACAGCCTTTTTAAATATTTTTTTTTATTTAAAAGTTGATTTTGACTGTTGCTTGTGCCTGAGAAAATGGGAAAGTCAAACTAATTAACACCTGCTCAAAGAGGAGGGGGGAAAAGTACGTAAAAGTGAAAATTTTATTATTTAAAATGTGAGTTTAGCTTTTGTTACAATAAAAAAAACCACCTAGAAACTGTAAAATGTGGGTGGTGTAAAAAGCTTTTTAACCCTAAACAGAATTGGGTTTTAGCTAAGCGCTACGTAAATAACCAAACGTTGTTTCAGGTACTTTTCTGTGGTTGTTCAGCTGTTGTGGGATTACATTACAACACACACCCTTCTGACTGGGATTCAACAGCTCATAATCATGTTTTCTTCTTGTCGGAAAAGTTTAAACAATTTCCTTGATGCAGAAAATTTGATGATTTGCATCGATGTGGAACCTCCAAGCATGTTTTCTGGGATCTGACTCGGTGTTTTAAGAAGTCAGTGTCAGTAAAAGTCTGTTTGTTTGTCATGAGATCACAATGTGAGGCTTTTTGTTTTCGCCAGTCCAGCATCATTCTGGTCAGTCCTCTGCGTTCCGGTTCGTTTAAAACCGGCGCCGCTGGATGGGAATGCGGCTCCTTCCATTTATCTCTGTTGTACTGTTACTGTAGTGCTGCTGTAACAAATGTTTTCTAAGTTATTAAAACCAACATCTCAAGCATCTCCTACAAGAAATACTCTGTTTTTTCCCCCCCAAGAAGTTCAAGGTGTTGTTGCCTCTCAAACTAATAACTCACAATCATATAGATGTTTTTACATAAAATATACATTAACAGATTAGTCAAAAATTTTCAAGAACAAACTCAAATTTTGAGATTACTCTTAAAAAAAATCCCAACTTGGACATTTAAGTTCAAAAGTTGAAAATTTACAAGAAAAAAAATCAGATTTCAAATTAATCAGAAATTTTCTAGAAAAGAACTTAAAAAATTTTCTAACTTCCAAAAAATAAAAAAATTCTAAAAACAATCTCAAATTTTGGGTTTTTTGGTGGAAATTTACTCCCTTTTTTTTCTAAATCACCACTGCAGGTCATTTTGTTTAATTTCAAATCTTTAAAAAACAAATTGATGAACACAAATTACACAACTTACTGCAAAAATATATATAAAAAACATTATTTTTTATGTCAAAAAGATACTTAAACTCTGATCATCATTGACTGGAAAAGTTTAATAAATTTATCTTACATGTACAAATAGACAAAAGGCTTTACATGATATAGATCAATAAAAATGAAGCAGAGAAGATGAAATAATTCATGCTCAGGTCACTCAAAGATTTAAGCTTGTGTTGTTGGACCTTTTTGTTTTCACAGGTAAAAGTTTCAGCTGTCAGTTAAATTCATTTTAAATCCACTTTAAACACAGAAATGGCATCAGCGACACGTAAACCACCAGAAACAAAGACGGGCGCGTTTAACCCGATCCGACGTTCATTTCTGTAAATTAACTCTGGTTGTAAAAAATCGGCACTGTTTAAAAACAACATAGCATCATACTAGTAGGCAACTATCAGACACAGCGCCCCCGAATGGCAGAAGTGTAAACACCCAACAAAGTCACACCTGACCTCTAACCTTTCTGGAATAAGTTTGCTATAATAAATTTCTAAATGATTGTAGTAAAAACAGACAAGGACTTAAGTTAATATAGTTATGCATTATGTTTTTTAATTAATTAAATCTATATATGATGATAACTAAATAAACCTTCATAATATAAAGTGCCACATATAGAAAAACACCATAAAGGTAAGAAATAAAAGTAGAAGGCACAATGTGGAAACGTACAACAGAGTATTAGGGACAGGCTAAGGAAAAAAAAAAAAAAACAGAATAAATTTGTCAAACAAATATGAAAAACTCATAATACAAGAAAAAGTCATAAAAATATGAGAAAATACAATAATAAAGTTACAATAATACAAGAATAAAGTTGTAATATTACAAATGCTATTGTAATATGAGTTCATTCTCATAACACAACTTTCTTCTCATAAAATTGACTTTATTCTTGCAATTTTATGACTATTTTTTCTTTTTTTAGCATGTCCCAAATATTCCCTTCATACTTTAATATGTGGAAACGATAAAAGTTTATTTTTAAGTAAGTGGTGATAAACCTAGAGGATTTATTTGGTGTTTTGATTGGCAAACATTGAGTTCATACTGAAGGCAATTTATTAAAAAAAAGAAAGAAAAGACGTAAACGTAAAAGGTTTTGGTTTCAGATGCTGGTGAGCACTGAGCTGGTCTCCACCACCAGGCTGATGGTCCCAGGAAGGTCGTTGTCGTCGTCTTTCTCCTTCAGGTGAAGCGTCTTCTGGACCTTTCCCTGCTCGGCCGGCACCGACACGCGGCCCAGGAAACCGTCCTTAATGATGTTGTGGTTGTAAACCTGAGAAAACAGAGAAACAGAGAGGAAGTCAACATCGTGGACAGGATTAAACGTTTTAAAAGAGAGCGACTCAAACCTCGATGCTGATTGGTTGGTTGGCTTTCTTCCTGTAGAAGAGTCCTTTGGTGTTGAAGACGGGGCTGCAGGTGTTTTCATAAACCGCAGAGCGAACTTTCTCTCCTTCACAGCGGATGATCACATAGGGATCTGAGCCTGGAGAAACAAAAAGATTCATTAAGCTTTTGCTGCTTTTTCTGATTAATGACATGAAAAAAAATAAAAAAAATGTGCAACAATGTGGGAAGAATATTTTAATTTCAAAATTTAAAATTAACAATTTAAAATAATAAAAAAATAAACGTAGAAAATACCTCCGTCTGAGTCTTGTGCTGCCAAACCGTTAGCTTGTAGAACGTGGACCTGAGTGACCAGAGACGGGTAACCACACAACCCGGACCAGCAGGTCTTAGGCGGCTCATCAAGAGTCAACTCCCTGCAGGACAGAGGAAATAAAGCAGAATGCTCGGTAACGGGCAGAATTCCACTGGGGTTGCTAGGTAACGGGCGGAATTCCACTGGGGTTGCTAGGTAACGGACGAAATTCCACTAGGGTTGCTAGGTAACGGGCGGAATTCCACTGGGGTTGCTAGGTAATAGGCAGTTACTCATGATTTGAGACGTTAAATTTCTAAGGAAAATGGAAATGTGTCACTATTTGTTGTTAAAATAAAAGGTGCAAACTGAATTGTTGGTCCATTAAGTTTGATTTGAATAAATCAAGGTGACATTTGAACTGTGGTTGGATTTCATTTTGAACCACAGTGAAGTTGAACAGAAGTTGCAGGAACTCGGGTTTGCGTCGTACTTGCAGTCGGTGGGAACGTCGGCAAAGATGCGCAGCAGAAACTCTCCTTCCAGGCCGGGATCAAAGGTCGTGGGGATGATGACGTATCGGCCCTCATTCAGCATGATGCGCAGAAACACAGACCTGGAGTTGATGAAGATGCTTCCTCCAGCCTTCTGCTGCACAACATGCATACGGTACTTCCTGTTCAGCTCCACCTGTCCACAGGTGAGGCGTAGTTTTACCAACACTGCAGTCACGGCGCTCGTTCTACAGATGTTTCTTTACTACCTTCTGGATTTCGAAGCCAATCGGCAGGTTTTCGCCTCGTTCTTCTCTCACAGCGGTTTTGCGGTCCTTTTGCTGCAGACAGATCAGTATCTCATCTTTCGGCTTCTTCACGTCAAACATGTACTGCAACACAAAATGAAGACGCATGTCAAGTCAAACAGCAGAAGAAGACACAGCAGGTAAATACGACCAAAATCAGACTTTTTTACAGACGTCTGAACAAACCAATTATGATCTTTTCACCCCCCAAAAATCTAATCAGTGCCACTTCATAGTTGGAACTAATTTGTATCTGATTGTTTTCAAAGTGTCTACAGTCTGAACGGTCGTGTCGCATTTTATTTGACTTTTACGGCATTAACATGAAACATCATGATTTTGCACCAGAAGAAACCAGAAACGGTAAATATGGACGTAAAAAATGACTGAAGATTATAATTATGAAATGATGAAAAAAGTCTGAGTCACTGAAGCGTTGCTTCACAGTGCCGCCGCTCCTGGTTCTGAATAATCGCAGTCAAGTTTGATTAATAGTATGAACGACAACACACACGAAAAATAATGGATTCCAGCTGAGGGAAAAAAAACAACTGAATAGTATAAATGAAAAAAATATGAAAAAAAAAATTAAAATGGGATTTCAACAAACTCATAATTCAACAGTATGAATTACCAGGCAAAAAAAAAAATAAAAAAATAAAAAATAAAAATAAGCAAAAAGATCTCAGCACAAAAAAAGGGGAAAAACATATTGGATTTCAGAACAAAAATAATTAGTTGAATAATATGAATGACCACGCAAAAAAATAAATGAAAGAATCATCATCATATTTCAGCCTGAGGATCTGAGCATGAGGAGCTGCTGTGTCAGCGCAGCCTAACATCGCTGTGTGAAACCAAAGAACACCTGCGGGTTCTGAAGGAAGGACAGCTTGTTGTTGCTGCAGCCTCCGGCACGGTTGTGAAGCGGGTCGTCATGGTGACGCCAAAAGCCCCGCATCACGGCCTCCTCCCAGGTCTTATGTAAACTCAGATAGGATGTGTTGATGAGACGGCAGAGGATGAGGTCGGTGAAGTTAGTGAGGAAGTCATCAAACGACATCCTGAGGACAAAAACGAAGAAATTAGGAGATGAAGAGATGACAGGGAAGAAAGAATAAAAGGAGGAAAGCAAGAGTTTAAGATGAAATAAACTGTTAACATCAAAGAAGGACTGAAAAATATTTATTAGATTAAATGTGATGAATCAGTTGTTGAAATAATCAACTAATTTAATAATCGATTAATCACCAAGTGGAAAATACAGACTGAAAAAAATCACAACATATTCAGAGCAATAATTAATCCAAAACTGAACAAAATATATGCATCTACATTTTACATGTAAAATAAAATCACCTTTGCCTGTAAATATGTTTTAGCCAAAACTCTTTTCTGGTTCAAATTCACTAAAGGAATACTATATTACTGCATTTTAGCCAATAACACATCAATTTTCTTATTTAAAATAGGAACTGAAGTATTTGTTTATTTGAATATTTTAATTTAGTTCTAATATTGCATAAAAAAGCTGAAAAGGTTAAATTAAAATATATAAAATGTGCAGATTTTAAAAAAATCTAATTAACAGTTTTAACTTCACCTGGTTAAAATTCATTTGCTACAAATTATGAAGTGTTCACGAAAGAAATTTTATGCAATAAAAAGTTTATTTTCGTATTTAAAAAATAAATTGTATTATTTCTTTATTTGCATATTATAAGGTATTTCTAATATTGTATGAAAAGGGCTTACGTGTTCACATTTTTATCTGATTAATTGTCAGAATAATCGGCTACTAAAGCAATCGTTAGCTGCAGCCATGCTCGGAGGCAGAGATGCTGTAGCCTTGCGTGGCCAGCAGGGGGCGGCGTTGCGCTGAAGCTCACCAGAACTCGCCGTCATCCTGCACAGTGAGGCCCATCTTCTCCCTCTCACTCTTACTGACCCGCTTCCACTCTTCAGAGCTGAAAAACAGCAAAACGCATGTTTTCAAGGGTCACCTAAATATTTATCTGAGATGCTATGTCCAATGAAAACATCCATAGAACAGCTGCAGTTGACAAAATCGACAAAATCCAAGTTTTCACACGCGACTGGAGATGAAAACAATACAAATGAACTAAAATTCAGTTTTAATTCACTATTATAGAATATAATTTATTACTAACTAACAAGCAACTTTTCAGCACGACATAGGAGCTTGTTTAGGTCAATTTCTTGATATTGATGAAAAAGTTCTAGTTTCACTGGCAGATTATTTCACTTATAACATGGGAAAAAATGTCTTGTTATAAGTTAAATAATCTGCCAATGTAACAAATATTTTTTAATCAATATTAAGAAATTATTGACCTAAAACAAGCTCCTATATCTTGCAGAAAAGTTGCTTGTAAGTTAGTTTTGTCTTATTTCAAGTGTACTCAGATATTTGCACCAGAAACTAGGCAAAAGTTACTCAGCAAGTGTTTGTGTTTTTGCAGTGTTCGTCTACAAACAGACATTATCCCTCATTTTTTTTAAAACAAGATTCTAACTTCACATCTTCACATAAATATGAAAATGTTCAGTATTTTTACTGATTTTTGATGGAGTGTTTGCTGACCTGTCGCTCCAGGGCCCGTTCCACTCCCTCTGGCCCCAGGGGTTCCTCATGCGGATCATGCCCAGTTTATCCGACTTGAAGAAGGCCAGCAGGCCGTGGCCGAGCCTCACTCTGCGGACGTCGGTCACTGCGTACGCGTGGCCCTTCACCAGGCCGCAGGCGAGCTTGGCCTCCATGTCCTCTGCAGAAACCGCCTGGAGCGACAACCAGCCATTATCAGTTTCGTTTCCTAAATTGTTTCAGACGTTGCGGGTTTCCTTCGTCTCTTTCTCACCCGGATGGAGCAGCTGATGAGGCCTCCTCTGTCGTGAACCTTCAGGATTCTGTCGAACAGATTGGTGCGTTTCTCCTCTTCGTCTTTGATCCCGTCCTCCGTCAAATCCATCGGCTCAGAGACGCCGCCGGTGAAATCCACCAGGGCGTCGGCGGTGTTGCCCCCGTCCAGAGCCTCGTAGCACCCACACAACCTCAAACACACAGACAGGGAACAAACTATAACATAAATCGATTTATCTGAATAATCGTGATTAATCGGATTCATTCTGATTAATCAATTACGGAAATAATCGTCAACTAATTCAGTAATCGATAAATCATTAACTCTAGTATACACTCAAAAATAAATGTAGACTAATCCATTTAAAATAGTGCTTCAGTCAAAACTGTACAAAAAACATCAACGTTATAGATAAAAAACACTTTTGTTTGTAAATATTTTCTACCCAGAATCATCAAGTTGCATAGTTTCAGCTTCACCAAGTCCAAATTTTGTAAATAAAATATTCTATTAACCATTGCTTGTAATCCAATTATTAATCATTTAATCAAAAATATATATTTTGTAGCTGCAGATGCATCAGATGATCAAAGGTAACCCAAAGGACTGGCATGTTACTGTATTTTAGGTAATAAAATGCTTATTTTCCTTTTTAAAGAGTGGAATTATTTGTTTATTTGCATATTATAATGTATTTCTAATATTGTATAAAAAGCTTAAATGATTCCTAAAATAATCTTTAGTTGCAGCCCTAACTAATGTAATGAATTAAATTTTGATCAATTAAAAAGAATCCAGTAAATGATAAATGATAAAAAAAAAAGGCCAAGCAAGATCTTAATCTTTATTTTTATCGGCCTGTCTTTAGCGCCGTCACCGTTGCTAGGCGACAGGTCATAAAAGAAGCACGAAGAAGACAAAGACGTCAAAAAAGCAAACTAATTAGAAGTAAAAAAATAACCAGAGGCTCACTTGGCGTAGGCTTTCTCCACCAGCGCGCTCCAGAACTCGTTCCTGTCGTTGGAGTGACAGTACACCAGCTCTCCGTTCGCCGTCGGCAACCGGTCATCGATCACCACGTCGACCCACTGGCCGAACCGCCAGAAGTGGAAGTGGAAGATCCCGGCGTACGTTTCTGGTTTCTCTTCGTTCCATTCCTGATCCTTCCAGTCCGGAATCACCTGAAAAAGAGAAGAATAAATAAATAAATGAATATCACCGAGTCCTGGAGATGCACACGATTAATCGACTTATTAATGTTTATTAGATTAAAGCTAGTTCCAATAGATTAACTAATAACGTCTGATTAGAGATCGTATTTTAGTGTTGTAGTTTCGCTGACGTCACCCTGAAATATGGAAACAAAAGCAGTGTATTGGTTGAAAAAAATGCAGATTTTTCTCAAATTAAATCTTTAAAAAAACAAAATAACCTTTTAATTGATAAAATTGATTAATCTCCCAGATGAAGCATGTTTAGACAGATGGATGGTTTTTTTCTTTGTGAAAACCAGAGTTGGTAGTAACCAGTTACAGTTACCCGAGTAACTTTTTTTATTTTATTTACTTTTAGGAGTATTTTTACTATGCTGTACTTTTTACTTTTCAGTAATTTTATTATGAAGTATTTCTACTCTTATTTGGGTAAAATTTCAGGATTTTCTATCCAGTGAATGAAAAACAAACATATTTTAACCAAAACTTCACCAGACACAGGCACACACAGCTGCAGTTTTAAAGTTTCATAAGTTTTTATTGAAATAAAAAAAAGATTTTGGAAACATTTTCTTTTGCCTGATTTAGTTATTTATATGAATTATTGCCATTTTTGTCCTTAAAATACCAAAATTTCCACTTTACATTGTGGCACGTCTAATGATGTGATTTTTAAATATTAACTGATTGATAATTTGATCAGTTACTTGAGTAAACTTTTTCCCAAATATTTTTTTTTACTCTTCAGTAATTTCTTGGACGACTACTTTCTATTTTTCCTTGAGTAAAAATATGTTGAGGTAGTGCTGCTCTTACTTGGGTGTAATTTTTGGTTACTCTATCCGCCTCTAGTAAAAACCGACTCTTGAGTTTTTCCACCGAGGGAATGCGGTTCTTCCGCATCTTGCGCCGCGTCCCCACTGACATCACGTCAACGTTGATGTAACTCCAACCTGAGCGAGGTGGCGGCTAAAAATAAACACCTGATCCACTGAGCCGAGACGAGCGGCGCTCCCAGAATCCCTCAGGAAACTCTCAGTGTTCCCTTCTGGACGTCATCAGCGTCCCAGTTGCCTAGCATCTTCAAACATCACTCACCAAGTTAACGCCTTAAAAAAAACATTAAATAATAAAAAAATGACCCACAGCTTTCAGAGAATCTGATTTCTAGGAAGATGTAATCACTTCTAGTTAAAAGTTTGAAGAAGTCTGAGAGGAAAATGGTTTATTTTCTAAATTTAACTGAGGGACTGGGATACAGTCGGTACAATAATGTTTTTGGGTCGATCTCATGTCCTGCTACTCTTCTCCATCCATTCATGACAGTCGATATGTCCCAACTGAACTTCCCTGAGGGCAGGATGAGGAGGAGGGCCAGAGAGAGAAACTGGTCCAGCGTGATGGAAACAGTTTGAGGGAGGAGCAGAGCGAGTCTATGAAAAGAGGAGGAGGGAGGGAAAAACTCAGCTGCATCCATCACTGCATCCCTCCACACAGGCTGGCATCTTCCCTCTCCTGAACCTGGGAATACGATCAAAGGCGGACATGGACGCGGATAAATCTTCCTCTGAGAAGTTGGTGCTCGAGTTTAAGGAAGACACCGATCTGACAGAGGTGAGGTTCTCACTTTCTGACAGCTTCAGGAAATCGGACACAATTATTCAAAAATATCATATTTAGAGGCGACTGATATGTTTGCAAAACATTTATTTTGCAAACAAAAATACATTTTTTAGATTTTCTTTTGATGCAACTGTTTGATTGTGTACCAAGAGTTTTCCCTGGTACACTGCAAAAACACAAAATCTTACCAAGTATTTTTTTTGCCTAACTACTTGTGAAAATATGTTAGTGCACTTTAAATAAGGCAAAACTAACTTGCAAGTAACTTTTTAGTAAGATATAGGAGCTTGATCTGAGTCAATAATTCCTTAATATTGATGAAAAAGTTCTAGTTCCTCTTGCAGATTTTTTCACTCATAATATGGGAAAAATATCTTGTTATAAGTTATAAGTGAAAATCTGCCAGTGACATTTTCCGGTAATGTTAAGGAATTAACTTAAAACAAGCTTCTGCATCTTTCTGAAAAGCTGTGTGCAAGTTAGTTTTGTCTCATTTCAATTGAACGAAGGTATTTACACAAGAAACAAAAAATACTTGGTCAGCTTTAGTGTTTCTGCTACGGCATTGTATTAATGATGTAAATGGAAAAAACGGAAGTAAATTCATATTAAAATAAATTTTCAGAAATTTTCAAGAACGGCGAAATTTCTGAATTTGAAATGTTGAAATTTTGCAAAATTTTCTTTTGTAGATTAATCCAAGAAAAAAAAAAAAAACCCTGGGGGAGTTGATGTCACAAAGCGGAGTCGATATCTGCCACACTTAAAAACACAAAATCTTACCAAGTGTTTTTGTTTAGTTTCTGGTGCGAATATCTTAGTACACTTGAAATGAGAAAATTAATTTACAAGTAAACTCATCAGCAAGATAAAACAGCTTATTTTAAGTCAATAATTCCTTAATGATATAAAAAGTTCTAGTTGCAATGGCAGACTATTTTACTCAGAAGAAATTTGTCAGTAGAACATTTTTTTATTTTATTTTAATCAATATTAAGGAAACTTAAAACAAGCTCTTATATCTTGCTTGTAAGTTAGTTTTGTCCCATTTCAGGAATAAGATATTTTTACAAGAACGTAGCCAGAAATACTTGGTAAGATCTTGTGTTTTTAAAGTGTAATCACTTTAGAAAATGTTGTAAAGATTTTTTGTTGTTGAATTTTTCTCATTCCTTCCTCATCTCCATCGCTGCAGATGATGCGTCGTCGCGTCTCATCTCTGCAGAAAACCGGGCAGAAGCGTCAGGACGGCGAGCGGCTGCTGCTCCCCCACGAAGCCGTGCATCGCCTCGACTTCCCCGTCCAGGAGCTCAACTTCTCCCGCTGGTACTTCTCCCTCTCGGGCCACGGCCGAGTCACCATCACCGGCATCTCCCAGCACTGGACCCCGGACCTCACCAACCTGATGACCCGTCAGCTCCTGGAACCGATCGGGACGTTCTGGAGAAACGCCGAGGACCCGGAGGACTCGCCGCTGAAGTGTCTGGAGGCCGACATGCAGGAGTTCGGGGAAAGGATCGCGGAGCTGGCGAAAGTGAGGAAGGTCATGTATTTCCTGTTCGCGTACAAGGACGGGTCCACAGCAGGAAACCTCGACTGCACCATTGAGTTCATACCCGAGAAGTAACCCTCCGCGTTCAGTCTTGGTAGAGAATGTGTTTAGATTTCAGTATAACTTTCCCCCCTCAAACCCACTAAACGTTTTTAAATCTTTGTCTGCATGTCTTTAACTACCGCTACCGATTTATTTTAATTATTCCCACACTTAAAGTATTTTGCATGAATCAATTTGATGTAAAACTTCGCTCACGACAAACTCTACCTTTCTAATTGCCGCCATGTTTTTTTAATCACGTTACAATGCTACGCCATGCAGCTCGTCTGAATGAGCGCTATTAAGGCAATACGTTACGGAGTTTGTTGAGTGTTTATATTTTTAAACAGAACCTTTTAAAAGTGCATTTTCCATCCCACATCGGCCTCTGTTTGGACCGTCTCTCTTAAGAATGACCAGCGGCGCCCTCTGCTGGATGGCGGTCGAACTACAACACTAAAAGAAGGCCTAAGCGGACGTTATTAGTTAAAAACAAAAACATTTTTTTCTAAGAAACTGGTCCTGTTGCATGCTTTTACACCGCCTCCACTTACAACTGAGAATAAAATAAACAATGAGCTTAAAAAACGATGCCTGATGAAATCACTTCATTTCTCATTTTCATCCAATTAGTGTGATATAGTCTGAAGTTGAAGTTTTGTCTTTATGTTATTCAGTGAAACAGCAGTGAATGAAACCTCAAATAACCACAATGCATACACACTGACCTGACAGAAAACAGATAAATGGAGCAAAATCAATCTCTGAAAGCCGTTTGTTTTCACTGGCAGGGAACAGACACAAAACCTGATTTATAAAAACTTTTGTTTTTTCCTTTAGTCTACATTTCTGATTACATTTAGTTGAGCTGAACTGCAAACACACAACATCTTACCAAGCACTTTTGTTTAGTTTTTATTTCAAATATCTTAGCACATTTTAATTAGGACAAAACTTACAAGTAATTTTCAGCAGGATAGGAGCTTGTTTTAATTCAGTAATTCTTAAATATTGATTTTAATAAAAAGGTGCGAAGATAACTGGTGTATTTATTTTGTAACATAAAATCCTCCAGCTAAATTATCCAAGTTTAAATGCATCCATTTCATGATGCATTTAAATTTGGATCTAAACAATACAACTTTAGGAAATAAAAACATTTATTTCTCATATTTATAGAAGAGATTTTCCTCTGTATCCTACAGCCTGTGTTATGCCAATAAAGTGTTCACAAACCTTTAAACGCTGTTAGTTTTTCTGTCTCCATCACTTTCTGCCTAAAACCACCAGAGATGTGAAAAGATGAAATGTTGTCTTATATATTTTTTTTGCTTAAAAGCTTTTTATTTTCTTTCTGTGTGATAATGTTGAACTTTTCCACTGAAAGCAAACAACAAAAACATCCAAACAGCAACAGGATCCAGTGGGACGGAGTTTACGTAGAAACCTCTACGGCGAAAACTAAACAAGAAATAAATCATGAAATGTAGAGAAATGATGATGAATCAAAGGTTGGCAGAAACTTAAATGCTTCAGATGGCAAGGCTGGTTCATTATGCTTATGTAACAGAAATATTATTAGGGCTGAAACGATTAATCGTGATTAATCAATTACTGAAATACTTGTCAACTAATTTAGTAATAGATTACTAGAGTATACAGATTTAAAAAAATACCATTTGCTGAAAGGACCACATGCTGAGAAAACCTCCAACTTTCTCAAGCAGCAGTTTTAGTTCTGGTTCAAATTTTGTTTAGAAAATCTCCTATATCCAAATACAAGTCAGTTAATCCAAAAAAACAATGGACAAATTTCACTGTTTTGATGTTAAAGGGACAGTATTTGTATTTTCCAAGCACATAGTGCTATTTCACAGCACAGTCAAGTAACTGTTACCCCCAGTTGTTATAAAACTCATATATTGGGTGTTCTGTAGTGGCTCAGGGGCAAAGCACAACCCAAGTATTGAGGCATTAGTCCTCGTGGCGGTGGTCGCAGGTTCAATTCTCGGCCTGGCGACATTTGCCACTTATCTTCCTCCTTTCTCACTACCCTGTTTCCTGTCAAACTACTTTCAAATAAAGGCCACTAGAGCCAACAAACCTAAAAAAAAAACAATCATATCAAATGTGACTTGAAAGAAATCTTACTTTGTAATTTAACTTGAAATTGGGTCTCTGTCTCTTTAAGAAACTTCTGCTTGTTCTGAAACTCGGCCTTCAGGAAGTCATAACAGCATGGCTCCTCTGTTAACCCTTTAACAATGTTTTTACCAGCGTTGCACTGAAAAGATCCCCAGTTCCACCAGGGGTTTGCTAATTGCTGCTGAGGGGGGGAGGAGCTGCGTCTCGAAGGCGGCGCTCGATCCATGCTTGCCATGGGTTTCTCAAACACGCATGAAATAATCAAGGCAACACTCCGGGTGTGTTTTTGATGCAAAAAAATATAAATATATTTTAAATAATACTTGCCCTTTAAGAGCTGAGCTTTTCACATGTTGATGTTAGAAGTATTTTTTAGCTGCCTATGATCAAGCATCACTAAACAAATGCTATTATTTCATTTTAGGCAATAACATTTCTTAAAAAAAAACAACACAACAATTAATCATAAATCTCACAATCCACCTGCAACATCTCCGCAACCCCCAGGCTGAAGAGTTCTGGCCTAAAGAAACACATACTGAATGTAAAAATGAAAAAATACTTTTGGGAATACTACATATAGTGTTGAAACTGGTCATCTAACTTGCCCTCCTCACACTGGAACCATGTTTGTTTCGGAACCATGCAGGGTGTCTAGACAACTGCCAGGCCCACAGAGACAGACCGACACCGGGAAAGAGTTCAGTTTCCTTTGGGCTGATGGAAAACTGAGAGGTACAGAAGACCTTTGAGACAGACGAGGGAGCAGTGGAGAAAACACAGAGGAAACGCACAATCCACAAAGGCCGGACCCAAAACACGTCCCACGAAATTTATTTATGTTTAAAGCCTCCAAAAACCTCAACATGGCTGACCTGAAACACTGAGAGAAAGAAAACAGATCAAATCCGTTTGGGATAGAAAATATCCACAAGTACTTTTATGTCTTTGAGAATGATAAAAGTATTTATACTTTTTGTAATCAGCTAAGCTCCTTACTCACCAGAAACAAAAACAAAACAAAAAGCCTAAAAATATAAAAAAAGCATCTGCTGAAAACCAGACCCAGGGATCCAAAATCAGTAGGAATAATCTATTTATCCAGCTGACATGAATATATGATCAATAATGTAATTATAAATGTGAACTATATTCAGGCTGAAACGATTAATTGTGATTATTGAAATAATCGTCAACTAAAGTAGTAATCGATTAATCATTAACTGGAGTACAAAGACTCAAAAAAGGACAAGCTGGACAAACAGCACACTCAGAATAATAATTAAGCCAAAACTATTTTTCAATTAAGATAAAAACAGTTTGTCTGTAAATATGTTTTACCCAAAACTCAAGTGGTAGTTTTAGCTTCATCTGGTTCAATCTTAGGCACTAAAATGTTTATTTTCTTAATTAAAAAATGAACTTAATTGTTTATTTATACCCACATTTTAATGCATTTCTAATATAGTATAAAAAAGGCTTAAGTTATTAAATGAAAAATCAGGCAGCAGGCTTTTTAGACAGTTATTGGTGCCACCTTGTGGATGATCGATGCCTGTTGAGAAGTTTGTTGGATTTTTATTCAGTATTTTACTGATTTTTCAACAAACCTTTTTGGTAAAATCTTAATGGCACTGATCACCATCTCCATTCATTACTGATAATAATGAGTGAGTTAATAATATATGATTTAAAGCTCTGGCATACATAACATAAAACCTCAACATGGTTGAGTGGTGCAAAAGAACTGTTAAAAGCGTGCACACACAAATAAAATGTAGATTACCATGCAAACGAGACGGATAAACAGTCCAGAACATGGCATTTCAACGTTTCATCTACAAAAACAAACATTTCACTCCAGCTTTTTAAAAACTCTTATCTTTAGGAGTCAACATGGAAATATCTACAGCAGAGTTTGTGTCAAGAGCTTAAGAGCTAATAAAATTAATTTGATAACACAAATGACAGAATTCACACTAAAATAAAAAACACGCTGACTGGATAAATCTAACATGCATGTGTGTTACAGACCAAGTACGAACACAAAGATCAGCAGGTCATCTGTTGGCTACACACTGCAGTTCAGCTGGGCTGAAATCAGCATGATAGCTAAAGAGGTGTGACCCACAAAGCAAACAGAAACCGTTTACCAACTCTGACTGACTTCTCCAGTCAGAATAACTGGATATTCATTGCTAAAGTAAGATACTACTGCACAAAACAGCAAAACTTAAAGGAAAATAACTAATTAGTTTAATTTTTAGCATTTTGTACACCTAACCTCTAAATTGAGAATTACAGGTTTATTTCTTATTAAACTAAAATACTGTTTTGTTAAACAGCGAACCTCAAAGGAAAATAAAAAAAAATAAAAAATTTTAAAATTTTGTTTGTTAATTTTCTTCCTACTTATTGTATTTTTCGAATCTGAAATGTGTAAACCATCTCGACCAGTGGTGTCAAACACATTTTTACTTTGGGCTGAATCAAGATCATAAATGTTCTTACGTGAATTTTGCGATTGTTTTTGTGAATTTTTGCAATCAAAATCACTGATTTTGTGGCGCTAATTTAGAAATCTTTGCAAGAAATTTTGCAATATTTATGCAAGATGTTTAATGTGGCAGCAGTGTAGCAGAAGTCAGAAATACTGCCACCTGCAGGTGGGAGATAGCATCACTCAAACCTGATTTTCTTTTCTTTTTGACCATTTTTGCAGAAAAATTGCAATAGATTCACATGTGTGCATTAAAAAGTGCGTGGATCTGTTGATTTTACATCAGTTTTCAGGATCACAAAATTACGAACAACTGGATTGACTGATTGATAATTTGGCAGCATGCAGATAAAAACTGCTTTGGTTGCACTCGCTGCATTTTTATGTGATTGAGCAGATTTAAATTCACTTAATTGAAACGCAGCAATTTAGAAAAAAAACTCACATTTTTCAATACGTTTTGTGCAAGAATGAGGTGTTTTCCAGCTTTCGCAAAATGTAATGGAAACACTTATTTTCACATCACATGAGTCACATGATCAACAACAGGAAGTTACTACAGGCAGAAGCGACAAAGAAGACAACAGGAAGTGGAAGGAGGATCATGGTTTAATGACTTATTGTATAAACAAATGTAGTCACGTCTGATTTTAATTATGTTTCTTATTTAACAACTGAATTGCAAAAAATTTTTTTCTGAACTTTAGTGGAATATCTACAAAGTTTTTCCACACAATTTTAATAAAAATGCAGCTGTAGATAAACTATTTAAGGGGACAGCTGCCATCTTGAAGGCTCTGTCTACATGTCCCTATGGAATCCAGAGGGCCACATAAAAAGCTACGGTGGGGCTGGATTTGGCCCCTGGGCCTCGAGTTTGTCACCCGGTTCAGATGATCTCTTACCTTTTGCCAGAGTGCTTCTCTGGAAGCCAGACTGGAACAAGCAGCGACAAACCAGCAGTTTCCCAGCTGGCCTTGGTGCAAGTCGTGAGCACTGAGCCCGTCTACAAACAGGCGAGGGTTGCTGCTCAACTCCTACGAGGAGAAAATAATCAGTGACTAGTTACATTTATGAAGGATTTCTGCTCTTACTTGAGTAAAATTTCTGGATTTTCTACCCACTGAATGAAAAATAAACATCTTTTAACCAAAAATTCACCAGACACAGACACAGACCTGCAGTTTCTGTTAAGGTTTCTGATATTTTTTATTGAACAAAACTGAATTGGAAACATTTTCTTTTGCCTGATTTTGTTGTTGTTTGTTACTTATATTAATTATTGTAATGTTTGTCCTTAAAATACCAAAATGTCCTCTTAACTTTATATTTTGGTCTGTCTGATGATGCAATTTTTAAATATTAAATTACTGATCATTTGATCAGTTAGTCAGTTCTTGAGTAGACTTTTTAGCAATACTTGTGTATAATTTACCTATGTGTAAATGCAATTAGCGTTCAGCCTGTTCTTTTGGTAAACAGCTGAGAAATTGTTCTTTAAGTTAATTTAAAGCGAATAACTGGACCAACTCAGTCATTTTGTCTCTTTATGTGGTGCATTTGTCTAAGCCTGCTACTGGAGGGCAGAATGAATGACAGGGTGTTACCCAGAGGACTCAGTCAACATTAAAAGATAAGTAAAGAGTAAATATGCTGCTCAATTAAGAGACAAGCCAAAGAGAAACAGAGGCAGGGAACCTGGAGAGCAGCTAAATAACAGAGCTGAGATAAACCACCCAGCAAAACCAGCAACTCTGTGGGAACAGGCTCTGGTATGTCACTGAGAAACAGCAGGGAACGTTTAAATGTATGGTCAGAAATGTAAAGAAAACCAAAAACAGTTCAGATCATCTTAAGGAGTTCATACTTCTGGAAATGTCTTGGAAAATAAAACTTTGACTTATTTACTGGGAAGAATGAATTGATAATGAAGGTTTCTGAGCAAGTGTTACACCTATGGGACTGATATCGGAGGTTTCAGTGAAAACGTTTTTTCTATTCTTTCCTACTCGCTTGAACCGGGTTTGATTTAGGGAGAGAGGTACCAGTTAATTAACCAGAGATGGGAGAAACTGAGAGGAACTCCCTACAGGAGAGAGATGGGTGGAAGGAACCATGTACGTGACTGATTAGGTACAAAAGGAGAATTATTTCACTTCTTACTCCTTCTTCTTTCTTGTTTTACTTCTCTCACACACTGATCTCTGATTTTCTAAATAAAATATCTAAAGACAAATGAGCATTTCTCCGACTGACTCAGACTTTTCCGGAACAGAAGCCTGAATTCAGATTCCTGGAAGAGTTTGAGATTCTCAGAAAGTTCAGAACCAGAGAAATGTCGTCACCTGTAAGGTACGAGCCACTCCTTCATTCAGGTTAAAATGGGGCAAAGCTGTTGGAAAACGCTTCATTATGAATAATAACTTCCACATTTTTTACTAATTATTTATCAAGTGATTTGTTTTTATGTGTGAAAAAGTCCAACTGGAGCAGATCATTTGTAGATTTTCCTTCCCTTTCCTGTTAAATAAAACAAGGCGAGGCAGACGGTTGCTCTGTTTCAGACTGGTTCAGCTGGATGTCTGACGGCTGAAAGGGAGTTCTGCTTTTTCAACGTCACATGATGATGTACACTCGCTCAAAGCAAAAAGACTGAAATGATTAATAGGATTAATCAAGATCAATCGATTACTGAAGTAATGGCGCAGTAGGTTTAGTAATCAGATGCATTCTTTGTTACAAGTAATCAAGTGTTGCTAAAGGAATCCAGGTTTCGCATTTTAGGCTATAAAATGTTTATTTTTTCTTACTTAAAAAAGGAATTGAACTGTTTATTGATATCATTTAACGTATTTCTAATATTGTATAAGAAAGGTTTTCTTTTCTTTTATCCGATTATTCATCAGAATAATTGATAGCTAAAATAATTGGTAGCTGCAGTCATAGACTCGGTGTGTAATATTTTACTGAAATAAAATGGTTTTCTTTAGTTAGCACATTTCAGGAGATGGGAAAGTTTCCGAGTCACATTTTTACACTCCTTCACTCAACACATTAGGAAAAGATCCTGTTAAGCAAGCAGCAGTATTCCCTTACCTCATCCCTCTATAAAAGAATCGATGATGTTGATTTCCTGCTGCACTTTGCCACCAGTTTAATTATTTATTTGCTCAAATTATTAATGATTGACAGAGAAAGCATTGAACTGCGCTCATTTCATCCAAGAGTAGTTGTTTTTACTCAGAGAACAAAGAATCTGGACAAAGTTACTGGTAAAATTTTACATTTTACCAGTAGACACAGAAAGCTGCACCTTACATTAAACTGTAAACATCATCTCCTCTGCTGCCTTCTGAGGCGTTTTAAAGAGGCGTGTGTTTTTATTGTGAAGATACTGAGCAGGAGAGATAAGATAAATCTATTTACGGAAATTATTGAGCAATAATTTAATCTGGAGAATCCCAATTCAGCAGAATGAACTCCTGCAAACAAATAATCATGAGAAATGAAAAACATCATTCAGACAGGAAACAAATCAAAGTCTGCTAACATTAAAGAGCTTCACTGTTTGAACTTTTTCATGGTTTGTTGAGTGAGTTTTGCATTTGTTTAGTTTTGTTCCCCTCTGTGGATAAAAATGTGGCTCCTGGTGTCACGTTCGGCCCGTCGACTGTGACTGAGAAGGACGATTCCCAGACCGTTTAAAACTAATGACTGCTGCAGTAAAACCAATATTCTATCAATTATTCTGATGATTAATCGGATAAAAATATTTGGAGCCTTCAACAGATTTTTTATTTATCCACTTTTACATACAATATTAGAAATAAAAATATTTCATCTTTGTTTCATGCAAACAAACATGAAATGTTTTTATTTCATTTAAAAATATTTCTTTTTAAATAACATATTTAAAAAGAAATATATATTTTCAATTGTAAAAGAAATAAATATTTTATTGCCCAAAATGCAAAACCATAGCACTGTTTTAGTGAATTTGAACCCAGCGAAGCTAAAACTTTAAATTTGATGATTTCTGAGTAGAACAGATGTTCAGATTAGATAAAGGGCCTTTTCCATCTCAAGTGCAGAATGTATATTATATGTATTTTGTAGTTTTGGCCCAATTACACCTCTGAATATGTTTTTTTTTTCAGTAAATGCCAATTTTTTTAGTCAGTATACGCCAGTTAATTACTAAATTAGTTAATTATTTCAATAATCGATTAATCGCGATCGTTTCAGCCCTAGTTTCTCACTGAGCTGCCTGCTCTAGTTCACTGCAGCGATCTCGGTTTCGCCTGACATCGTTCTAACCAAAGATGCTCCAGCTTCTCTTAAACCACGTTTGGCACCATTTTGGTTTCCAGTAGGAATTAATAACGCCACAAAGTGAAAAATAAAGTATGAACAATATGTAAGCGATGCAAGTCGTTCAGGTAATGAAATGGGAAATATCATGCTGCAGATTTCAGAATAGTTGAAGTATTGTCCTATGGTCTGATGCAAAAAAAAAAAGAAAGAAAAATTTGCTAGAAGTAATTCAGAATTTTTCTAGAAACAAAACATGGAAATTTCTGAGTTTGAAAAGCTGATTTAAATATTTTAGTATAATAGTCAAATATTTTAGACTTCCTTTTTTTTGAGTTTTTTCTTTTTTATAAATATTAGAAGGAGACCGGTTTGTTGAGTTTCCGGCACAAAAACTATGAAAATGCAGAATAAAAACCTTTTTATTTTTAAGCGTTGTTACATCCCTAGTTTTATAGAGTTTTATTAAACTGACCCTTAATATTAAAATAAATTATAATTAATTTCAACCCTGTTCTTTGGTCTTCAGTCATTTTCTCCTGCATGTATAGATAACAAAGTTTTATACCCATATTAGCCAGATAAGCTGCAGAATGTGATCTTTGCATTATTAAAAAGAGCACAAACCTTCATTTTAAAACTAAATTGCCCACAATTATTTCTGTTCTATATTATCTGCTCATCATCTTCCAATGAGATTAAAAACCTCTTTGGTGTTCTGCTTTAAAGTGACACGACTAAATGAACCCAGACTCAGAGGAGACGGTCATTTATGGACATGTTTGTGTCTTTTAAAGCGATAAATAAGTTGAGGAAGTAACAGTTTTGGATCAGAGTTTGATTTCAGGCAGCCTTCTCATCTCTTATTCCCTTAGTTAAAAAGATTATATACAACAATGTCCATTTACTTTTTAAAATTCCAGTGTGCATATTACTTATGTTACAGATAAACATCTCAGTGAGTTGAGTGGAGCAAAAAAACAAACTACAACAAAGGACTTCTACTCGTTGCAGTTTGGATTTCAGGAAGGATAAAAGATAAAAGAAATTCCTTAAATTCTTCTCCATGTTCAGCCGATTCAATATCTCCTCTGTTTACTTTCACTCTTAATTCATGATCACCACCCCCTTTTTCAGCCTACTTTCTCTCTCCGTCTTGTTTCAAAAGATTTCTCAGATTAATATCCGTAACTGTTCAAGCGTTGAGATAGCAATCGTTTGTTTTTGTTGTTGTTGGTTTTTAAGCAGAAACCCTTCCCAGGGATGTCCTTGTTTCTCATTTCCTTACCTTGGGTCTTTTCCAGGTAATGTGTCCAATGCGATTTCGCTGGTAGAAGAGAGACTGGTCGGATGGCGGGAACAGAGGGTCTTCAAACAGGGTCCCATTCTGTCTGCACCGCCTCCTCAGAGCAGCAAAAGACTGGCCTTCGTACGCAGCCACCATCCCCCCTGCACACAATGAAACCCAAGGTCTGAGACGGGGCCTCCGACAACGCCGGCTCCAACATTTTATCGCGATAAAGAGACTTCTATGTTTCGGTGGGAAGAACCGGTCATGGGAAATTATTTAGACTTCTCCAGGAAAGCGGGCAGCTTGGGTTTAAACTCACATGATGTGTGGTTACGGATTAACAGCAACGATATGCCCCTAAACTAGTTTATACATGACAATTACTTTTAAAAAAAAACTTTTTTCATGGGAAGCAAACGTGCTGGAGCTCTGCTTAGATTGCTAGGTGATGGGCTGAGCTTTGCTGGGGTTGCTAGGTAACAGGCTGAGCTTTGCTGGGGTTGCTAGGTAACGGGCAGTGCCTGCTGATTTCGGTTTTTGAAGAAGGTCATTTTTCAAACACCAAAAAAACCTTAATTTATTGCTAGGCGGTCTGACATGATAAATTTTGCTGGACGATAAATTGTCCAAGAAGTTGTGATAAATTATAGTATTGTCATTTTAAACAACAGTATAGTTTGAAATGTTATTTAAATACCACTATATTTCAAGTAATAAAACGGTAATGGCGTAACAATGGACGAACACATGCTCTAGGATAAAAAATAAATTAAATTCTAACATTTAACGCTGGAACTGGAACACATTTTAAATATCCAAAATAATTAAACAAAATAACAGAAACAACAAATAAGTTGAATTATGAAGTCTCTGTAAACAAAATTGTCCTTCAGAAAACCAGTTTAGTTGAGACCAAAACACCAGACTGAAGACTTTTGTCATCCAGTTTTTGGTAGAAAGAGAAAAACGATAAATCAAGCAAATGGAAATTATTGGGCTCGTTTTAATTTATCATGCATTTAATTTATTTAGTGCTAATTGGGACTGGCCTACTTATTGGCAAAAAAGGCTGGGTGGTCTTCTACTGTTTTTAGAAGCAGCAGAAACTCAAATGAGAAAACAAAAATGTGTGAAATGTGAATTTTGCACTTATGTCCCCTTTAACCTTTATTTTACCAGGTAAATTGATTGAGAACAAATTCCTATTTTCAACAAGAACCTGTTCAGTAAACATCAAAACATTGTACAGCAAGAAACAGAAGAATATCATAAAAGAACAAGAAATGCACAACCATATTCACACTGACCAAAAGCACTGCATACACTTAATAAGTGAAATAGAAGTGTACAGCGTGGCATCATCAGCGTACAGATGGATATGGAAGATACCAACAGAATGAAGAGTTGGATTTGAAAGTGAGTTGGTCCTAAATTGGACCCCTGAGGAACACCAGTAGCCTTGGATAGGGGTCTGACTGCCAACCTTCAACTTGCACAAACTGAAAATGACCCGAGATTTAGATTTTACAAGTCAGACTTTTTTGTTTTGAGAAACCTGGAGTCAGAGAAACAGAATGTTATGAGCAAGTCGACAAACAGTCACGCAGTATTCTTTCTTTATCAGAGGCATTAATGATGTCATTCAAAATACAGATTAGACGGCAACATTGGTGCAACCATGGCCAGTTCTAAAGTCTGACTGCAACATATACGACTGGATGACAAATACAAAGTATTTTCCCTTCAAACGTCCAGAAAGAGAATTTGGTTTAGCTCAGTTTCCGTAACATCTCTTAAGACATTAAAAAACTTATTTGAAAAACCCCAACATGCATTAAAAGCTGCTTCCTTTGTACAGGAAATGGGTGAAAAACCAAAATAGGTCAGCGTTTAAAAACAGCACTGCAGTTTCTACACTGTAGACCAGACATAAAAACATTAGTTTGATGGAAACATGTTTTCTTTGATACGTGCAGCTCAGTCAAAAATAATACGTAGATGAAACATCAATTTAAGAAGTTTTTGTTTTCAAGCGGCCAAAATCTGTTACTGTAGAAAATCCATGTTTACTCTGGATATTCTATAGATAGACATTTCAGAATAGTTTAAACAGACCTGGAAAGTGATAAATAAGTGGATGACAAACATTCTCTACAAACTCAGTCACGATTTATATCAGTGTCACTTACAGGCTATTAACAGGAGATGATGGTGAATGAAACACAGAAAGGCTTTCCCACTGAAATCACTAATTGGAGAAGAGAAGTGGTTGTTAAAAGGATGAATGGATGGAGGGGAAGGTAGATGAACGGATGGATAAGTGGATGTGTGGGTAAGGATGCTGGACACTGCCCACATACAAAACAGTAAAATGTTTTGTATCTGACCTGAACCTCCAAATAAACATAAAGGCAGTTACAAAGTCAGCCTTTTGTCACCTGAAGAACATTCCTGATATTAAAGGACTAATGTCCCAACAAGATCTAGTGAAACTCATACATGTGTTGATCTAGTCGCATTGATTACTGCAACAGTGGCTACATAGGTCTGCATGAAAAGTCAGTTCTATCATGTTTTTTGGGGACATTTTGTTGTTTGTGTTAATTGTTTAAAAAAAAGATGCCATGTACTCATTTTGTGTTTGCTTTTGGATTGGATTAATTATACATTTTTAAACTAGCCAACAAATTATTCAAGAAATTAGTCAATCTGGCTATTATTTGTAAAACATGTAACACAACTTCTGACTCTGATTGCTTTAATAAAGAAAAAAAAAACTGAAGAATCCCATGACAATGTCCAAGAAAAAGCCCCACTGGGTAAATTGGGTTTAACTTTACAGACAAATCAACCATTCTAGATCATTTTAGAGATGCACTCTGTGTAAAAAATGCTTTTCCTGAAAGAAATTTCAGCATCACATGATATTAAGGCAATTTCACTGCCTTCTTTGGTAGAAAAGTTAATTACATACATCTATGTAACACAGAGTTTAATGTCTATTTACTGACATGTATAACTGGAATCAGAATAACAGAGAAGTATTAGCAGAGGGAGCTGAATATGAGAAAATAATAAAATATTCAAAACAAAGCAAAGTCTAGTTATTTTAAAACATTAGGTTCTAACAGGAGAGAAAAAAATTTAGATTAAAGTAATAAAAATAAAAAAGCAGAAAACTTTTTCGCCTGACAAGCATGACAGGAAAATGACTCATCAGATTGACACAACGGTTTTATCCAAGTTTCTGTTTCGCATTAAAAAGTGCATCCACCTTCAGATTTCATGCATTTTCAATATGTAAAGGTAAACATAAAGTCACCAGCTTAGGGCTGTTCTCCCTCACCAACATCAACAAAAACACCCTGCGGTTCAACAATGGAGCAACAACAGGAGCGAATGATGGGTGTGGTTTCATGAAGACACCATGACAGCTGAATAACAACAACCAGAAGAAGATGTTGAAATATCAGGAAGGCATTTCATTTATTTCTGGCAGCAGGTAAAAGCATCAGCAGAGGTTCAGTTCAGCTACTATAAAAGACAATAAAATTATTATTTCTATAGGTTTTCCAGGATTTTGAGCAATTAGGATATGAAAATGTTCATTTTTATGCCACCCTGAATATTTATTTTGTCCAAAAAAGCCAAATTGTTTGAATAAAAACGTTGTTTTCTTTTTCAACATTAAACCTGCATTTCCGATCATAACCACATCTATTCGAAGTTGCATTGAAATCAAATCCATCAAAAATGTATTTCAATAAAGGATTTCCGTGGCAGACAATAATCAAAATTTGACTTCAGTTTTACTTTGAGGGGCTCGCTGGGCTGAAGTGGGAAGAAGTCATGTGGGAGGAGATGGAAACGAAACTCAAAATGTAAATAATGCTTTATTTGTCAAACGCCTCGCTAAGATCATTTTTTGAATAAAATCGAGTTGCATTTCTAACAATATTTGTTATTAAACACGTTTGAGCAGTTAATCAGATGTAAATAAATAAAAAAAAGTGACAATAACGGTTTGAATTAACGCAGCGGTGGGTCTGCGGAAAGATTTCCAGATGTAACGTCGAGTTAGCTTAAACTTTACCTGCTTTTCGCTCCACCGGATGTCAAACTATGTAGTTTTCTCCTCCTAGAGAGCTTCGGTTCTTTCTCCTACAGGTCAGTTCAGTGAAGAAAAATGTTTTGTGCTGGAGTAGAGTTACTTTACGACCCTCAAAATAAAACCCAGCTTGGACAGAAGGAGCTCAAACGCACCAACAGCAGCGGCAGCAGCCCGCCTCCCTCCCGCCTTGGCTCGAGTCATAATGGGTGATGCATTCAAGGTCCGCACGTTAAACACGGAGTCCACACGATTTCAGCACATATTAACCTCGATACTAAAGCTGTGTGCCCCCTAAAATGAGGTTTTGAGATAAGATAACACTCGATTTATTCATTATATTAATTTCCTACAGAATTAGAAGAATTACTTTGGCCGTTTGTGTTTTTAACAGAGCCGTCCTCAATGTTACAGCAAAAAATCTAGATTGAAGAGAGAGGCGGGGCATTTACTGAAGTAACATTTTGGCAAAATGTACTTTTGTACTGGAGTAAATTTCTGAATACTTCATCCACTGTAAGAACCTTCACTAAATGAAGATGAAACAGGACAAAACCCAGAATATGTTCATATCTTAATATTTATGTCTGATTAAATCATTTTTAAACATTAACCAAATTATCTCATGAGTTACTCACTTTTTTTACTCTTACTCGAATAATCACTTGGACTACTTTTTATTTTAATCTGAATAAAAATGTTGAAGTAGTGTTTCTCTTGTTTCAGAACAAATTTTGGGCACTACCTCTGAGAGTCAAAGGCAGGGGTGTATAAATAAAAGGTTTTTTTAATAAATAAAAGTTGTATTCATTGTTGGTCAAAAACTCTTCAAAAAAGAAAAAAAGATAAAGGAAGTAAAAGAAAAATATGAAAACCATTTTTTTATTTTTTATTTAATGAATTTTGTGACCCGTTGGTAATTCAAATTAGTCAGTTTTGGCCCATTGGGACAAAAAGTTTAGAGATCTAAAGTAATTTTAAGAGCATTTTTTCCCTCAGCTGAGCTAAATAAAATGTGTCTAGAGCTGCAAATTTTACATAAACTTTTTTTTAAAATCTAATTTCTAAAGTTTTGATACATATCTACAAGAAAATTTGTTACCATTTTATTTTTGTTCCTAAGTTTTTAAATCCAAAACATAGAAGTTCTTCTATGATAATATTTGAGGGAAGTGATGTAAAGACGCCACATGGCTTCCAACCTAAGGGCAAAAAATACAACCAAAAGAGTATTACTGTTACTTTTAGTATTGTTCAAGTGTGGAAAATGATTGCAGTTATTTAGTGATAATACTGATGAAACCCATTGTTATTTATAGATACGTATTTTAGTTCTTTATTATTTTAGTTGTTAAGAGTGGACGGCGCCAATTAACTAAAGTTCTTAAGACAATAAGAAGTGAGTTATTTTAACAAGGTAATACCGCCATCTGCGGACAGTTTTGATTGTGGCCTCTTCTTTGTGTCGATATTCCGTCTTCATGTCGTCAGGTTCTTACATGATAACCTGTACCAGTTTTTACCAAAAGTGATTTTGACAACAACAAAATCTCTTTCGGCAAAAATGACTTAGGCCATTGTTTTAGGAAGGAAACGGTGTGTGCAGCCCTGTTTCCTTCTGATTGTTATTCGTCCCATCCATATATATTAAAGTTTTCTGCACCAAATAGGCCATGTCATGTGTATTAAAATCAGAATCGAGTTTATACTCTGTACGTGTTTCAGTAAGCTTGTTTTGTTTTTGCCGTTTGAAGTATTTCCACACAATTCAAATATAGAATTAATTTGTATTTGCCAGCAGATGGCAGCAAAACATAAATCTGGAAGCCAACACGAAGTAGTGTTACCTCGATGTAAAAAGCTCGTAGATGTTTTTACATTATGTATTCTAACGTGACAGTGAGAAATAAATACGACGATGTCAGTTTATTTTAATTCTCATATTTTGTATTTGATGTTTTATAGGAGATTAAAAACAGAAAAAGTTGTGATTTCGTATGTTAGCTTTGACTAGGGTAGCGCTGCGTTGCATTGTGGGTAACAAATCAAACGTTATGTTAAACATTTTAAAACATTTTTCAGTTTTTTTCCCTAAAACTCAGTTATCCCAGTATGTTTTAACTAGTGTAATACCACAGCGTCCCGATTCTGGTTTTCTTTATTTTCTGTGTTGGCACCGTGAGTTATGTGGGTATGTCTGCGAAAGACATCCCGGCGAGAGAGAAGAGCAACTCATACTTACCTGGCAGGGGAGATACCATGATCATGAAGGTGGTTCACCCAGGGTGAGGCTCAGCCATTGCACTCCGGTTGTGCTGACCCCTGCGAATTCCCCAAATGTGGGAATCTCGACTGCATAATTTCTGGTAGTGGGGGACTGCGTTCGCGCTCTCCCCTGATTCACTGTTAATGTAAACAATCATTTCAACATAGTGAAGAAGGTTTAAACATGCACGTACAGTTTTACAAAAACCACGAAAGAAGCTCAGTTATTAAGAAATAATTCGAATTAACAAAAAGTTGTACATTTTCCAAGAGAAAGATAAGAAAATATTAAGTATTAAAACATTATAAAGTCAGATCCGGTATGATGACGTATTTCAGCCAGCGAAAATTAGTTCTGTTTTATGTTTTAAGCTTTGTTGAGTCACAATATCATGAGAATAAAGTTGAAATAGTAAGAGAATAAGGTGAGAATGAGAATAAAGCCATAACATTTGTTCTGATACAAATATCAGAAAAAATATCTGATATTTAATAAAGACACATTTCAAGAGCGAAGTCGTAATAATACAACAAATAATACAACAAAGTTATAATAATGTAAGAATAAAATCCTAATATTACAAGAATAAAATTGTACAACAGTAAAGTCAACATAATATGGAAATAATTTCATAATATTTCAAGAATAAATATGAGAAAAAAAGTTGCACAAGAATAAAGTAGAAATAATACAAAAATAAAGTCATTATTATGAGGGTTTTTCTTGTAAAATTAGGACTTTATTCTTATGATTTTATTTTTTTTATTATTTTCTTTATGTGGTCCTAATACGAGGTTGTAGAAATGAACTTATAATTACTGCATAGAATCTTCTCATTCTGCATTGGGCATACAATAATAGTCTTCCAATTTATCAAACAATCTACTTACTTTCAAAATCAGTTAATCAGTTAAGTGACTAAGTTACATTTTCAGTGCTGTGATTGGGTGTTGAATAAAATATGGAAACAGTGAAGCGTTGTGAATGGTTTCCAGGGTGTTTTAACCCTTCACTGATGCAGAGAAGCAGCAGCTGATGCTATTAATCTTTAACATCTTCAGAGAAAACATCCCCAGTGTCATGTGAGGAGCTGCACTTTACTCTCATCTGGAGGAAACCTCAACAGAAACACGACTTCGCCCACAGAGGATTGAGGAACGAGGTGAAGCTCCTCATGGAGCCAAATGATGCTAAATTCAAACAGATCCTTCTGTTTTAAACTTTAATTTTAAGTTGCGATAATGACTTTTCATTCTACTTGAAGGCAGCAGCAGAAGCAGAAGAACCAGAAGCAGGTAAAACCAATCTGAGCAACATATTCTACATTTAACGTGTCTGTTAATTATTAAGGTTTTGTTTCTCTGTTAGGATCTCGAGTCGATAGCAAAAAGCGTTGAATAAAAGCGTCTGTTTTATCCCGCAGGTCTGAACGATGTGGTTGATTTTCACAGCTCTTCTGGTCGCCTCGTTAAACCGACAGAGCCAAGCTTCGGTGACTTTTGCTTCCACCTGCAGGGTCAAAGGTCAACCAGAGGAAGAGCTGATTTTACACTGCGGTGATGGAGAACATGAAGGTGAAGAAGACTCTCTCGTAAAACGGTGTTGTTAAATGTTGCTACCGGTTTCTGCTACCGGTTGCTTTTTTATTTTTTCCAGAGGAATGTTTATTACCGAGCCATTTAGCTCTGAGTTATGAATTACCCGGCATAAAAAGGCCCTTTAGAATCAAGCAGTAAAAATATTCCAGCTGCTTTTTCCCATTTAATTCACAGAAATGTTGAAAAAATACAGATATGTAATATGTTAGATGACTATCAATAAAACTCTGCTGCCTTTTTTGCAAAGAAATTGTGAAGAAGGTGAAGATGGGATCTGAAGAGTAAGATGGTGTATTAAGAGCATTGTAGACATAAAAAACGGGTAAATTTCCACCAAGAATCTCAGAATTTTAAGATTAATCTCAGTCATTTTCGACAAAAAACAAGGACATTTCTCCAAAAGTGTCTAAAAAGTTATATAATAATGTTTTTGGCAGCATTATGACAGCCAAACAGAACACCAGACCAGCTGTAGCTTCTAGGGAAAGAAAAATAACAAACAAAATGTTAACACCAGAATTAGAGCAAATAGTGCAAATTGAAGAGAAGCAGAAGAAGAAAGTGAGAAAAAGTGGTCAGTTTGTCTCCCAGTAACCTAAAACTTATGGCTGCATAACTACAGAAACCTTTAAACTTATCAACTCACTCATTCTTTGGTTACCTAGCAATGCACTCATTCTTTGGTTACCTAGCAACACACTCATTCTTTGGTTACCTAGCAACACACTCATTCTTTGGCTACCTAGCAACAACCTGGTAACTTGCACAGTAGCAGTTTCAGGTTTCTCCACTGTGCCTCATAACGTCATAAAAACAAAAACACAAGACCTGGAGTGAAACCTGGATAAAACCGGAACGGTCAGGTCATCAGTCTGTCGTTATTTCCGATATTTAAAACAAAAAAACAAACAAAAAAAAACAACAACAAAAAACTAATCAATAATTATCTATAAAGACTGCTGTGAAACCCTTTTATCATGATACATTTTTCAGCCTTAGTTTGTGAGAACATAAAATGTCATTTTAGGGATTTTTGGGCAACAAACCACCTCACAGATCACAAATTTCCTTTTTAAATAACCTGTTAGAATAATCCTGTCCAAGTTTGAGTTGTTTGGATTTACAATAAACTACTTTAATAATACAGTAAACGATTTGATTTTATTGTGGTAATTTACCCAGTGTTGTAATGTACTACAGCAGTTGTTTCCATCTTCAATATTATGGCATATAGAGATTTTATTTGAAGATGTGAACTTTTAAAACTCTTCATGTATATTTCCTTGTGTGTTTTCAGGTGTGGTCCAGTTCTGGCACACACCGTTCGGTGACCTCCAGAGCTCTGGTTCCCAGTCCAAACTGGACCCGGTGTTTATGCACCACGATGGGAGCCTCCTTATCCAAAACTTCAGCATCCACCATGGTGGGCTGTACTACTGCATCCTGCAGCATGCAGAGGGATCCATGCTGTGGCCCTTTGAGCTTCATGTGGACCAAAACATGGTGGCTGAGGCTGACAACGGGCGCGGCGGCGGCAGCTGCGCTGCACGCCGGTTCAGGAGGAACGCAGCTTTTACAGGCGAGAGGGAAGCCGTGTTTTCAGAAGAGATTTTTGCAGGAGCCGTGGCTGCATCGGTGCTGCTGACGTTTGTGGTGGGATTCAGCGCTGGAGCTCTGTCACGGACTCCTGTTCTCAGGTGGGTGATGACGTTTAATCTGTATGACGACCACAAGCTAGAAAAAATAAACCTCTGCTGAATAAGGACTTGATTAAAGGACAGAAGAGGAGTCGAAATCTGCATTCTGTCATAGGAAACACTAAAGAAACAACCAGATGTTGCTAATTAAGACACACTGGAAAAATACCAAATCTTACCAAGTATTTGAATCTAATTTCTGGTGTAAATATTTTAGTACAATTGAAATAGGACAAGACTAACTTACAACCAACTTTTCAGCAAAATACATGAACTTATTTTAAGTCAACAATTCCTTTATAGTGATAAAAAATGCAAGTTCCATTGGCAGATTATTTAACTTGTTGGACATTTTTCCCATGTTATATGTAAGCTGCACAAGAACAATAACACTGAACTGAATAAATGTAACCAGGGTCGGGACTTTAACATTTTGATTTTGATACAATCAAGCTTTTAAAGCAATTAATTGCATTTTGTTGTTACATATGGGGTTTCAACCGGAACCTTTTTATTCGCATGTTTCCGGTATGACTGTATATTTGATGCACAGGTGACATCCCCAAACAGCAGCAATGGATTCTTTTGACCCACTGGCAGTTAATTTTTGCTTCAGAAAGTGATCTGGTGAGAGGCAGGTTAAAGACTATTATTGCATTCAAGTTGTGCTAAAAGGAGTTAGCCAAACAGCGAAGCTATTCAAGGCTAAAGTAGCATCTCAATGCTAACATGATGCAGCAGGATTGACATCAGCATCCATAGTCCAAATAGAATAGCACTTTGCACCAATCAAATGGTTGAATACCAGATTAAAAACAATAAATATGTTTTTTTTATAGCTTATTTGTCAATCCATTCAATAATTTAGCATCAGAAGATGTTTCTGGATTGAAAATGTTACTTGTTCCGTCAATATGTGGCTTTGCAGATGATGCAATTAACCGAATCTCACCACTAACTCAAACATATTTACCAAATCACACTGATTTCTTCACTCAGGTGTTTAAAGTCACTAGCTCCAAAGAAGAGAAGACGTCAACCTGACGTACCAGACGGCTCTCGGGTTACCATGACAACCCTTCCATCCATGTACGACAACCAGGCCTACAGGACGGGAGCGATTCCCCATGACTCTCAAATCTGGCGAACCACGGAGACGCCAACTCTGCTTACAACCCCGTCTCCACCCGCCAAACCCAAGCGGAGCTTTCGGCTCAAAGTAGAAGAAAAAGAAGAAGAAGAAGAACCGGAAGGAACTGCTTATTTGGAAGGATGTGATTCTAACCGGGCGGAGGGGGAAACCGGAAGCGGAGAGGATGGTGAGGCACAGGAGGAGGAAGAGAGCGGCAAGCCAGAAGAAAAGGAAGATGGAGGGAGTGAAACAGAGGACAGAGAGGAAGATGGAGAAGCGAGCGAGGAGGTTAGAGAAGAAAAACAAAATACAGACGAGAGTGAAGAGTTGGAGCAGGAATCCACAGGAACAGACGACGAGAGGAGCGTCAAAGCGGAAGCTGAGCCCAGAGGAGAAGACCCGCCATCCGGTTCTCACCGGCGCCGCAGCCGCGTTATCCGCCTGTACCAATACGACGAGGACGGCCAGCGATACGGTCACCTCCCGGACCCGGAGGCTCCGGAAGCGGCCCCCAGGCCCAGGCAGCGCTCCCGGTCTCTGACCCGCCTGAACGCCATCATGGCGGCGGCCGCCACGGGGCCGATGGAGCGGACGGAGCCAGAGGAGAAGCAGCAGCAGCACTTCCACATGGACATTTAAGACTCGTGTTATTCTGTTTCAATCATTATCACGCTATTCTTTTTTTTTTTTTTAATAACAATGACACAATAAGAAAAAAATACCCTCCCCTTATTAGCACATGCGCAAATTAGCTGATGGTACGGATGATACTTCCGGAACAGGTCGTGCAAAATGGAGGCGACGTTAAGTTTGAGGCCTAAACCACTCAGCCAAATAAATTATATATATAAATTGTCAGAATTTTATGCATATATTAGTATGTTTTGGTTTTTCACTCACAAAAAAGCTCAGTTTAATATCACAATTGTTATTTATGAAAAAAGATCAGAATAAAATGGAGAAAACCGTTTTCTCAATGGGAAAACAGAAATTTGGGTCGCGCACAATATAATTACTATAAATAACCGGCCAACATGCCACATTTCAGTTTGTAAAGTCAAATTTACTATAAGAAATTAAAATTAATTTCAGGAGTTTTAAAATGTGAGAAAAGTTTTTGGATTGTTAAAAGCAGATTAATATCAGGATTACCATCTAATTTTCTCTTCAGATTCAGGCTTCTGACTACAGCTACTGACAAAGTATTCACAGTAAATATATTTATACCTGCTTTTAAACATAATTCTACTCCCTAAACACTTTAGCCTAATTCATTAAATGAAACATAGAAAGTATTAGAACATTTCTGGTCGTTTGTATAATAATGAAAGTCAGGCCACAAACATTCAGCAATTTGGGCACCCACTTATTAAATGTGGCTAAATGGATTTTAGAAGAAAGTTTTTGTTCATATGAAAACATTTCCTAGACCCAGAAATAAACACCCATAAAGTTAGAAAAATGTACGCCTTTTTTTTAACCAACATAAACATCTAAGACCCTTCTCAGAAACTACAATGTTATTTTTGTTCTAAAAAAAAGTATGCATGTTTAAATCACAAAAGTGAACTATTTACAGTAAAATTTAGCATTTTTTTTTAATTGGGGGAAAAATATGACTAAAAGCTTCAACTTTGTGATTTTGGCTGACAGAGCAAAAAGTTTGGACACCCTGATCTAAAAGCTGCAAAATAAAGGATTTATAGATCACATGAAGAAGTTGTTTAGATATAATTCAAAGACCAATGACTAAACTACATTTCCTTAAAGGGTATTCTAGTTTAAAATGTAGTTTTCTATTAAATCTTGTCTAACTGAAGGATGTAAAATTATAGATGAATCCGTATGAAAAGCGAAATGAGATCTTTTTCAGGATGTATTTCAGGTTAGTGTGCTGCACACGCACTAATCTGACAACACGCTTGGTTGTAATAAACCTTCATGTTTCATCATTTAGGGAGAAGCATCTTGTTATTTTCATCTCATTTTTAATAACAGTGAAAACATCTAAACAAGAAAAGCGAAACAATTTCACAACTCCTTCCGCTCATTTTGTTTCCACGCGTTCTCCAAATCAACACTAAGAAAACAAAGTAACTTCTACTGAGAGGAAGGATCCCAGCAGCAGTTTATCAGTGGCAGACGGAGGAGTCTGGAGGTGAGGAGAAAAGAGTCCACAGCGACGATTCTGCAGTCCATGTTTTTGTGTTATGTACGGTTTTATTTGTGTTGGTGAGACCATGTCAGAGCTGCGTCGTCTCTGCAGAAAGTTTTCGCTCTCCTTCCCTTTTAGTGGCGACGCAGGGCGGCCGCAGTGAAGCCGGCCGCGCCTTCTGCCACTCCACAAACTCATCCAGCAGCACGGGCCCTGGAGGAAGCAAATGCCTGTTAAACGGCCGCACAGTCACTGCGTTTTGTTTTAAACATCCAAATAAAATCTAAAAGGTTCCCAACGGTGACTCGACAAATTAAAATTCAAGTCCTGTGCTTCGAACCTCATCATTTTCCCCATTTATGGTAGCAGTACAGAGTTTTAAAAATGTTTAAAAAGTTAACACTTTTCTGTCAACCTACGATTTAAAGTGATTTTATTGATACTGCAGAAAACATCCCACAGCTTTAGCGTATTTTCCTCGTGTCTCACAATAAATCCATGTACAGTTTGTTCTATGGCTTCAAACCAAAACAGAAAAAAGAAAATAACTGTGTTGTTATAATCCATTTTAATAAAGAAATAATAAATCGTAAAATCAAAATAAACGGTGTTTGATCTTTGCTTCAGCTATTAAATCCACAAAATAGTTTATTTAACATGCAGCGATACCAGAAATGACAAAGAAAGAAGAAAGTACAGGAGATAATAAAAACATATGTATTTTTAATTTGAATGAAACTAAAAAATTAAACCTTTTTCAGCTTTGGAATTGTTTTTCTAATTTTATTTTAAAACAAGAAAGCCACCCAATTTTTCATTTTTTGTGGTTATTTTGAAACTGAAAAACCAAAGAACGAACTATTGTAATATTACTACAACATGAGTGAACATGTAAAAATGAATATTTACAGAGTTCTTTAAAAACCCACAAAAGATTCCTACAGCAACGGTCTGGAAAATTATCACCAAGTTAGAAACTCATAATTTCTAACTTGCCAAATATTAATACTCTTATTTTTAAATATGTATTTAAATAGACAGTTTGTTTCCTGTGCTGCAGGTGATACTCACAGGCTCCGTCTTCGTCGTAGTTGCTGAGGTCGGTGCTGATGGTCCTGCTGAACTCCAGGATGTTGTACCACTGGTCTTTATTCAGGCCTTTGTACTTTGACTGCTGTGGAAGAGAACAAGGGGCTTCATTGTTGAGGAACATATTTTAAAAGGCAGTCCAGGTTAAAAACAAAAGCTAAACAACTTTTAGAACCTGCGCCATCTGAAATAATCTTCGACTATATTTATCCAGCAGGCTGACGTCTTAACTTGTCCTGTTATGTTTACATAGGAAAGTGGAGCCGAAGTTTCCAGCAGAAACATTTCCTCTCGTCATTCTGAGAAGATAAACTACTCGTCCTACAAACTACAGGTCTTCTGCCAGGCCCAGGCGTTTAGACTGAGGGTAGTTTACCTCCAGGAACTGGCGGAAGACGGAAAAGAGAGGCCAGGTTCTGCCCAGCAGCAGAGCCAGCATGGATGTAGCCGTGTCCATGTCCAAACTCCTCTGGTTCGTATCCTAGCAACAGAGACAAACCCGATTAACCCAGTTACACTTAACCCCCCACACCTGAGCCAACAGGAGCGCCAAGGTAGCGTTTCATTTTAAGAAAACTGACCACCTCACTTCAAAGCCAACATTTACAGGCCTGTCATGATAAAAAAACATTCTAATTATTGTGATAAACAGTATTTATATAATATTTAATATATTATTTACGGTAAATGAGACCATTCTGCAAGTTCATCCTCTAATAAAGAAAATCTGAATTTAAATTATTCAGCTCATTTTAATTAATCATTAATTATTTCATCATTTATCATCATTTATCAACTGCATCAGGTTTAAATATTTATCAATTTCAGCTCTCAAATGTGAAATTAACAATATTGAATTAATTGTTAGAATTACTAAAAATTAATTTATTTAAGTAAAAAAAAGTCACATTTGTGTTTTTTTGTTTTCATCATTATAGGTATTAGTGGACATAAGTTATAACCCATTTAATCCAAATGCAACTTGGCTCCATTTCACCTTTTCAATCAGACGATACCTGAACTAAAAGCAGGTGCACAGACGCACCAACCCACTTTTCTCACTTCCGGTACCGATACCGATATCTGCAGTTTAGTATTGAACCGGGCCAATACAGAAAAACTGCTGAATTAAAATGTTATTTCTTTTAAACACAGACAAAAATGTACTTAATTACAAACTTATTTTATAATTCTGCACCTGCGCATCAGATTCACCAATATGTTCATTAACTTGGTCAAACATGTAAAAACATCTTTAATTTGTTCAGTCAGTGTGATTAGGAGTAAAACAGCCAATTTAAAATAAATAATAAATAAACTGAAACGGCCAAAAACAATAGTTTGTCTATTTTGGTCAAATGTAAAAGAAACTGCAATAAACTTTTTCAAGAGGTTCAGAAAGTGAAATTAGGAATCCTAAATAAAATGTAAAATAAATAATAAAGCATAGAATTAGACTGAATAGATCTGGCTCATTGTCACAGATACTGATATAATATATACTTTTTAAATACTGACAGATATTAATATCGGAAGCAGAGGTAGAGAAAATCTATTTTGTTTTTGGTTATAAAGACTCAAAAGGTTTTATTTAAACAAAGCATTCAGACTAAGCGAATGAAAATGTGCTAAAGGAATCGCCTCGTTTATTTTAACTCTTCTCTCTTTGTAGGTTTTGACTGAAATAAAAAAACATCATGTAATAAAACCTGCGTACCACTAGCAGGTCAAACTACAGAACAGTGACAAACTAAAACCAGTTGGGTATAAAATGAGTTGACATAATAAACAAAAACTTACTCTGGCAAAGTCGAAAGCGTATCTGTAGATATTTTTGAAGGCTGCGGAGTCGTTGAGCTCACTGCGCATGTAATCAAGTTTGCTTTGCAACCTCTCAGTGCAGTCGCATCTGAAACACAAAGCGGCGTCGTTTATCTGCTGCCAACCAAAACCAAACCGGTGAAATTAAAGGCACCTACTGTAACACTGTCATCCCACTGAGCCACTCGTCTTTCGTGAAGTATCCCATCTTTGACGCTCCTAGATGCCACGCCAAAACTAACATTATAATCTGGAAGGAAGGTCAACGGAGACAGAGGTGATCCAGCCGTTTGTTGGAAAGCAGGATCCACGTCGGACAGCCGGACTCACATTCTCTGGTTCCACTCCGATATCGTCACAGAACTTCTCCATGGCTTCCGGGCCGACCATCTTTTCAGCGCCGGCGTACTTGTGGAACCAAGCCAGGCACTTTTTACCGGAAAACTGCCTTTCAGCGCCGTTTGGCTTCACACCACGGACCTGAGGACGAGGAAAGCTGCGACACCCAAAACAAATTAAAACTTAAAAAGATCATTTTATTCATGCAGCACATTTTCAGCAACAAGGCAGTTCAACAGGCTTCACATGGATTACAAGGAAATCCAAACAGCAAAACCAAAAGAAAGACAAAAAGGTAAAAATACAGACTAAATATCGGTTACCCATGTTTAATAATAATAATAGTCAGTAGTTTATAAAGTAGTAGAGATTTCTATGGATCTGAAGTTTGCTCGTTTTGCTAAATGTTGGTTCTCCGTGTTTAATTCTTGTTCTAAGTAAACTAAAAGGAGTTTCTCTTGCTCCAATATTAAGTATTAAACTAAATGTTGGTTCTCCATGCTTGGTAAGATTAGTGAGGTATAAAACTAAATGCTGGTTCCAGCGATAATAAACTCTTTATTTAACTCAAATTTTCCATCATTATTTCAAGAACGGCAGCAACACAAATGAAGGAAAGGATAAATAAAAAAATAGATTTCAAAATTCAGACATTATGGGGAATAAACTTTACCTGGTAATTTTACACTTGTGCCCGTGATCTTCAGAATCGGGCAGTTTCCTCTTCTTCACAGGCATTATGGAACCTTTATTGGGCTTTACTAGCTGGGCTGCACAGAACAAAAAGTTTGGAAAAATACCCGATTAGCTGATTGCTCCAGAAAATGGCAAAAATCTAAGTAATGCAACGTGAATCTCAAATATTTTGAACACAAAATCTGCAGAGCTTTCAAATTGCAACTCTCCAACTTATTTAAAGTCTTTCGCGTTTGAAAATGGACAAATTATGTTATGTTACAACTTAATATAAAATTTACATAAGTTTAAGTCATGCATTTTCAAAGAAATTCACAGTGAAACCAACCATCCTTGATCTTAAGATGTTATATTTTGTTTTTACGTTGGTTAATGCTTTTATAGTCATTCTGCAAATAAAATTATTAAATAATATTAGTGAGAAATGACTCAATAAAATTCCAGTTCTAAATTTTGTATTCAAAACTTACTTCCGTTCCTGAAAAACTAGCATGAAACTGAACAAGCACTCAATCAATCACTTATCAATAAATCTCTTATCTAGTCCTTACCCGTAAACTTCTGGCTGCCTTGTCCATTCAAATCAAGATTCTGAAGTTAAAAAAAGTATAAA